TCAGAGACCTGCTGCTTCTGCGCATGCGCCAAGCCAGGCTTCCCGTAATGGGCCTGCACGCATGCGCGAGCCAAGGATTGTCCGCGGAAAAACACGCCAAAAGGCGCACAGGAAGTGACGCTCTCCAGATCATTTCTTCCCTATTTAAACCCAGACTCCACACCTACTCATTGCTGGATTGTCTCTTCAACCGCCCTGACGTCTCCTGATCCTTGTTTCCAGTACCTTTGCTTATTGACCCGGATTGACTTTGACCTTGTTTGCCTGCAGCCTGCCTTTGACCTCGGAACGTTTGACCATTCTTGCTTGCCTATACCCTTGACCTCGGATTGCTTACTGGACTGCCTACGCCTTCTCCCTTTTGTACCTGCTCTGCCTGCTCGGTGTGACCTCGGCCTGTTGACCTCGGATATCAAGATCTACAAAACTCTGCTACAAAACCAGGGATTGGCCGGCACGGTGTTACCGCCTCTGGCCCTCCTGCCACTGCCAGAGTCCCTAGGACAGGAGCTGCAAGGGAAGCCTCCTCCTACATCCAGTCTCCACACAGGTACGTGATATCAATACTCTCTGGACACATTCCTGTAGCCAGTTCTCTATCCATGTACACACCATTACATCTATGCCCATAGATCTCAGCTTGTGTACTAAGCGTTTATGTGGTACCGTGTCAAAAGTTATGGCAAAATCCAGATATACCACATCCACCGGGCTTCCCTCTATACAGATCTATACTCACCTCTTCGTAGAATGTCAGTAGGTTGGTCTGACAAGAACGATTCCCTCCTAAATCCATGCTGATTATCACTTATTATACCATTACCGTTGATAAAATCCATTAAATAGTCCTTTATCATCCCCTCAGTTTGCATACTATTGATGTTAGACTGACTGGTCTATAGTTCCCAGGTTGGCATCTTGAACCTTTTTTGAATATTGGTACTACTGTAGCTTTCTGCCAGTCACTTGGTACCTTACCAGTCATTCTGGAGTCCTTGAAGATGAGGAATAATGGTCTCGCTAAAACCTGGTTGTGGTGCAGGTTATCTGTTCCTAATTATGTATTTGTATTAAGGTTTTCAAGGTTTTTTTGTCCCTCCTGAACAGGTTGTACCCCTATACACTGGTTCAGGGCCAGTGCAAGGATTTTGTCTACACAGGCGAATGTGCATTTTTGCGCCCATCCCTTCCCGGTGGGCCTATGCAGCCTTACATCAACACCAGACTTGACCACATTGCTCAGTCTACGCCAAAACCTGGAGGCATTTCCTCGCTAGGAGCAGATCACACGTTAAGTTCATCTTTCTGACCATGTTTCATATTACACCCATATTTAGGGTCTAACATGAAACATGGCCAGATTGCATGCCTCCCCCCTCCCCTCCCCTTACCTGAATGGCGGGGTATTTCTCCCTGCAGGCTGCAGGTTTTTTTTAAAGTTGTGTGGCGGTGTGTGGCTCCGCCCATGCAGCTACGTCAGCCGTCCACAGGAAGGAACTACAAGTCTCATCTGCCATCGTGGCAGAGGGACTTTTAGTTTGAGAGGAATGAGAGAGTTTTAGTCCATTAACTCTGCCTCCTGTCCACGTTACTGCATGTCCGTATCTCAGTACTGGCATAGATGGAAGTAGGGATGCACGGGTCTCCATGCTTTTCATCAAGCACTTGCCAATACCTATTACCAGGGCTTGAAAAATCCACTCGTCCTCTCGTTAAACGGCCAGCCGGGAGCTTTATATTCAAGCAATTGGGCGTTTCTAGAGACGCCCGATCGCTTGTATTAGCAGCAGCTGTCACTGCCGTTGCAGGTCCCGAGAACCGCTGTGCCCGGTGCGGCCGGGACAGGCACGGCTGCTCTGCGACAGGAGATCTCCTTCTGATCTCCTCCTCATTCTCTGAATGCAGGAAGTGATGTATGTTACATCACTTCCGCATTCAGCTGTCACACTCCAGCTTCAGAAGCTGGTGAAGCAGATCTGTGCTTCGTTAGCTTCTGTGGGGGTCCCTAAGTGACATTAGTGGTCTTTGAGAACCCTGATGTCTCCATAAAGAGGACCTGTCATGTAAATTGGCTATCACATAGGGGATTTTTTAGCCCTATATGTGATAACAATAAAGTTAAGTGAAAAAAAGTATAATAAAAAAATTAAAAAAGCATAACGAAAAATACTAAATTTTTTTAAAGTCCCCCACCCCCCACATACACGCGCAAACATGCGTCGGTGTGCCTACGCACAAAATGAGGATTGCGCCTATTGTGCAGCACATGTTACATATCGCCTCAAACGGCAGAGTGTGAGTAATAATTCGTATACGTAGGGAAAACATTTTTTTTTTGAGGCTATAGTCCGGTCATGCTGACTGGTGACATTTTTTAATGACTGGTGAGACATGCTAACATTTTTCAAGCCCTGCCAAATACCAATACTGTTTACAGTCATGTGACAGTTTTTCTACAGCAATACAGATTAATTATTTTGCAGCAATTGTGGAGCAACAGGGCCCAGTCACAACTGCAAATGCTGCCACCCTGGCAGTTCTGCTACTGACTCCAAGCTGTATAGGGACTGCAAATCCCAGCAATACATTATACAGCAATGCAGAATACCACCAGTTATAGAGGACTACAAATCCCAGCAAAACTTTATACAGCAATGCAGATTAATATGAAGCTAGATACTGTGTTGCTGATCTGATGTCTACAGCAGAGTGTCTCGGGAGGGCTGCCCGCAGTCTCAGGAGTGCTGCGCGCGGTCTCGGGAGGGCTGTGCGGTGGTGTGTTGCAATATTGAATTTTTTTTTATTTAGTAGTATAGTTGTATATGCACGATGTATGAATGCTATGTAACACTGTAGAACAGCATATCTCATATCCATAGGATGGGCTGGAGGACTTACTGGGAGCTTCTTCACACACTGCTCATGAGAGGGATCACAGCTACGGACACAGACCGGCCTCAGCTACTTCAAAGTCATTGCAGCACAGAACAGGGGGCGGGGGCACTGGCCGAAGAAACACACCACTGCACTTTTTTAACTCAGCTTGCTTGTCTGCAGGGATAGTGGCACCATTTGTCGCCCCCCCACCGGCGCCCTCAAGCGGCTGCTTGTCCACTTATGCCGGCCCTGCACTGGTTGCCCAGTCATGCGCGCTGTCTAGCCAAGTTTCTGATATTTCCACTATATCGAAGTCCTCTTCGATTAGCATAAGTTCGAGCTCCTCTAATTTGTTTGCTAGACTTCTAGCATTGTGTACATACATTTTAGTCTGGTGCTAGTTTGGGTTTTATTATTACTCATTTTTGGAGCCCAACTACTTTTTTTATTAGACCTTGGTATAGTTGATACATTATTTATTAGATTGATTGGAATCATTAGATTAACTAGATTAACTGGTGTGAGCCCTCTATCCCCTTTTATATTACTGCCCTCAATACTAATCGCCCCTGCATTTATTATATCCATTTTTATTCCCTCCCCCCCATTATCTAGTTTAAAAGCTCCTCCAGTCTTTTAACAATTTTCTCCACCAAAAGTGCTGCGCCTTCCCCATTAAGATGCAGCCCATCTCTGCAGTAGAGCTGGTAGCCAACTGAGAAGTCAGCCCAGTTCTCCAGGAATCCAAAGCTCTCTTTCCGACACTAGCTCCAGAGCTACTTGTTCAGTTCCCTCAACTCTCTCTGTCTCTCTGGAGTGGCTTGTGGCACCGGCAATATCTCAGAGAATACTACCGTGGAGGTCCTTTTCTTCAACCTAGCAGCTAAGTCTCTGAACTCACTTTTTAGGGCACTCCATCTGCCTGCAATTTTGTCATTGGTGCCGATGTGCACCATGACAGCTGGGTCATGCCCAACCCCATCCAGTAACCTGTCCATTCGTTCCATGATATAGTATATTAGTAATCCCTATAAAAAGAAACATATAGAGAAGAAGGGAGTAAGCATAGTGTGAATATAAATATCCCCAGATACTTAGTCTTACCATTGATAACATGTATACTAAGGATATAGCATTAGTCCGCAGAGCAAAGGAGGAGTACATTGCCAGGTTGCCAAAACACAACATATGACCCATGGCCTATGCTGTATACTGCCATAGCTAAGATTAAGCCTGACATCTAGGTATATATCTATCTATCTATCTATATATATAGATAGATAGATATATACACACACAGTATATTGTGGCATGCTTAACATTTTTCTTACCCCTTGTTTTGTTATATGTTCCCTTTTATGGGGAGTAATAATATGTTATATGACATTATTGTATACTAAACATTTCATTCAGCTACCAACACCTATTGTCTATCTTGATCCCTCTTGATCATTTGTATATAAAGGTATTGTTAGACACATAAGCTTACACAAATATGTTATGAGATGGAATGCCACAATTCGATCAACCTACAGTTATGTATGCCTATAGTGGACATTATTGGTTTGATCCGATATATACAGAAGTGGTTGGCTATCTTCCTTGCCAACAGTGGCATATCCATTCTAACATAAGTCTGAGGCAACAAGAGGTTCCTTGTTGTGTTGTTTATCATTACATGATTATTTTGGTCTAAGCATTTATATATGATGACCACCCTGCGTCTACTGATCATCTGCACATTCCGGAAGGTTTATGTCTCTTTACAGAACATAGAAGCTTCATAGGGGAGAGGTCAAGGATAGATACACTATATGGGTTTATATTTTTTCATTGGAATATAAAGTTTAATAAGAAAAACAATACATGCGCTTTCCAAAAAAAGTCAAATGCTGAATTATTTTACAAATTTCTTTGGATTGCTCTTTTCATCCGTGCAATTCTATCCCCATAATGTGTGAAATAATGTATAAAATGTATTTGTAAACTTTCCTGGAGAAGGGTTTTCTGGTCCCCACCTCAGTGTCTGGAGAATTTTTGTCAGCCATTAAATGTTATCTTATACTTCACTGCTGTTGTTAAGAAAATCTTGATCTCTATGTGGAGTTAAGGTCAGTGCTTACCTTTAGAATCAGAATAATCTTCTCTTAATCCTTGCCTACCGTTTGATGATCCTTCCTCTATTAGATTCAGGGGCAGTTCAGGTGATCCACTTGTTGACTCTGTGTTTTCACTGTTATTATGAATGACTTCTTGTAACAAAAGTAATTTAGATAAATCTTCAGTATAATCGTGTTCTGGAGAGACTGGTGTAGACTGAATTTGAGTTGATGCAATTTGCAAGTTTGAGACTTCAAAAGATGTTTCTTTGGTAGAATGAATTGCACCCAATGAACTTGGAGCCCCCATGCTTTCTTTTATCCTGCAAAATGGAACTGTAAAATACAATGATAAATTAATTAATATTTCTACAAATTTTCTTAATAACCTGTGTTCTTGCTGTAAATTAAGCAAACTACTACTACTACTCAATATAGGCGATAATAGCATGTACAACTACTTTATCAAGTTTGGCAACAATTCTAATATTGTGATTATGTAGTGAAATTATAGACAGAGTGTGACGATAATGAGGTTTGAGCCTATGAATATTAAATATATCTAGCTGAACGCAAATGCAGTCTTTCATTTAGTTGTAGGTGACCTGCGTCTGTAATCTGTATAGCGTGGTAGAAAAGTCACTCGCACTCCAATGAGATTTTCAGTCAATGTTCTTTATTGACAAAAGAAATGTCACATCGTATAGCAACGTTTCTGACCCGTATATGTCCCTTCTTCAGGCAAACAAAGTGTAACAATCAAAACCACAGTGCAGGTATACAGTGCTCAGCATAAATGAGTACACCCCTTTGAACAGTAAGCTTTTAATAAGTATCTCAGTGATAATTGACAAGAACAATTTCAAACATTTTTACAAAACCGAGTTTTATAGAACATTTGTTTAGCTCATTACATGAAAGTAAGGATAATAATATCATTTAGATTACAGAATCTTCAGTTTTACTCAAATTAGGTGAAGCAAAAATGAATACACCCCACAACAAAAACTACTACATCTAGTATTTTGTGTGACCTCTGTGATTTGTAAGGACAGTACCAAGTCTTCTAGGCATGGAATGAACAAGTTGGCGACATATTGCAACATCTATCTTTTTCCATTCTTCAAGAACAACCTCTTAAAGAGCCTGGATGCTGGATGGAGAGTGATGCTCAACTTGTCTCTTCAGAATTCCCCATAGGTGTTCGATTGGGTTCAGATCAGGAGACATACTTGGCCACTGAATCACTTTCACCCTGTTCTTCTTCAGAAATAAAACAGTGGCCTTAGATGTGTGCTTTGGATCATTGTCATGTTGGAAAACTGCATGACGAACAAGGGCACGGAGTGATAGTAGCATATTCTGTTTCAATATAGAGCAGTACATCTGTGAATTAATGATACCATCAATGAAATGCAGCTGCCCGACACCAGAAGCACTCATGCAGCCCCACAGAAGGACACTGCCACCACCATGCTTCACTGTAGGCACCATGCATTTTTCTTTGTACTCCTCACCTTTGCGACCCCATATAGTTTTGAAGCCATCCGTTCCAAAACATTTATCTTGGTCTCATCACTCCAGAGTACAGAGTCCCAGTAGTCTTCTTTTTCAGCGTGGGCCCTGGCAAATTGTAGGTGGGCTTTTTTTGTGCATAGGAGAGGCTTCCTTCATGGACGACACCAATGCATGCCATTCCTCTGCAGTGTACGCTGTATTGTGTGACAGGAAACAATCGCCCCAGTTTGGCTTTCTACTTCTTTAGCTAACTGCAGTGAACTGTCAATTTTCTTCAACCCTGATAAGTAAAGCTTTGCTGACCTTCTTGTAGCCTTCACCTTTTTTTGTGTAAAAAAATTATTTTCTTTCTCAGGCCTTGTGCCATTTCTCTTCCATGTGGTGCCATTGACAGCATGTAAAGGGAAGGGGTTTTTGTTGTTAAGTCACGCCCTTTTATAATCAACTTTCTGCTGGACACCTTTTTAATGAATAATTATACTCACCTGTAGTTGAATTCTTGTTAATTTAGGATTTTGTTGTATAAAATTTAGCTTTGCTCCTATGACTTTTATTGGGTAGTATTTTGTTTTGCAACATGGTCTTGTGTGTACAAATTAATAAATTGTGGTTGCAATCAATGGCCCATATTTGTGGGAGTATTTTGTAGTATAGTGTCCCATAGAAAATGTTGATTGTGAAAGAAAAGTAACGGTTTTCTGACAAATCTGTTAAACTGTAATCATTTATGCTGAGCACTGTATATACAGCAGTGAAACACCAAAATCCAATCAGAAACCATTGGAACCTCCCCTTCTGACATTATGGTGATGTCATATTCCCGCCATTATGCACTGAAAATGAATAGAGTACATAAAAAACCTTCTTGGTGTGGGTAAAAAATACCGTAAACCTCTGTGTGTCTGTTGCTTTAAGTGTTCTTAAATGACCACCATGATGCTGCTGCTAGCACCGTGCTCTCTTAATTGGTTGTCAGGTGGCTGGCTCTGCCCCCACACATGTTGTGTGGAACAGGCTGTTATCCAGCAGCATAGCAACAGTAAACAGTTCAGGCATTGCTGCTAATCATTGCTGTGCCTTCCTGTTAGAGTGGACAGTGTCTTGTGTGCTCAATCAAAAGCAGACATTTACAAAACCAACATAATGTTATCCCAATGTAACGAAACCATTAAAACAGCGTCACATGGTGATTAATGTATTAGGGTGTTATCACACGTGCATACAGAGGCAAACCCCTGAAGGGAGCCCAGTAGTGAACTTATCTACACAAGTCATTACGAAGGATGAGTGTGATCTACTATCTAAGGGCTTATCTTTTTGTCCCAGTAGATGTTTGATGCGTTTAAGTTTGATATTGATTTGTTTAAGTTTGAAAGAACTTAAACATGTTGCCACACCTGCACCCATGACACAACAAAAAGATCTGTCTCCCTTCAGGGTTAGGAGCTGTTCATGCCACCTGGACAATTTCCTACCATTAAAAGCTTACATAGTTACATAGTATTTGAGGTTGAATAAAGACAAAGGTCCATCAAGTTCAACCTATTGCGTGTATGCATGTGATTCTGCATGTGTATGCGTGTGTATCCCTGTGTGATCTTGTTCTTAAGAGTACCTGTACCCCTGAATGTTACGGTCTCTGAGGAAATCGTCCAAATGCTTTTTGAAAGATTCAATACTCTCAACTGAAATCACTGCTTGCGGCAGCGAGTTCCAAACCCTAATCGCTCTAACTGAGAGGAAGCCCCTTGTGCTGAAATCTTTTCTCCACCAATTTTAAGTGGTGACCTCGGTTCTTTGTTATGGAGTTTACCGTAAAACGTTTATTGCAAATGTTGCTATCCCCATTGAACATCTTGTACATTAAAATCATATCCCCCCTTAATCTCCTCACTTCCAGCGTGAACAGGCTTCACCAAGTATTGAATTATGTGAACACAGGAAGGAGGCAATCTAAGAACATGTCTAGAAATTAATGGTGTGCTTTAAGAGAACTAAAAAATGACAACAGCATTATCATCAAGCCGGCCGATAAATCGGGAGCCATAGTAATAATGAATTACATTGACTATAGAACAGGAATGGTATCCGTGTTGATGGATGAGACCAGCTACACCCCGATCAATCATTAATAACACGCTGAGGGGGGGGCTCCCCCTTTCGCTCTTCGGGAGAATCCATTTGATAAAAATGATTCGCTTTGCCAAACTGTTATACCCAATGCAAACTCTTCCTCTCCTACTAAAAAGTATAGACATCAAGCGATTTCAGAGAGCGATGTCACAGTTCATATGGCAGTCTAAGAAGCCGAGGATATCGTTCAAGAAGTTATGGCTCCCGAAGAGCGAGGGGGGGGGACTAATTTTCCGAATATTAAATTGTACAACAAGGCATGTCTCCTTCGACACGCCTTAGATTGGATGTCGGGTAACTCTATGTATTCTAATATCCACATGAAAGTGGAGCTGATAGCGCCATGGGATTTGAGGGCGATCCTTCATTGCAAGATCTCCTTGCTACCCCAGGGCATTCGACAAAACGCTCTCTATAGGGACACCATCATTGTGTGGCGAGATACACGTTAAGCGCTGCAACTTTCCCCATACATGTCGCCAGATTGCCCCATACTGGGGAACCCAATGTTCTTGCAAGGAATGGACTATGCAGCCTTTCATAAATGGAAGGAGAAGGGCTTACAGTGCTGGAAACAGTTATTTCAACCAAGGACTAATCGGTCAAGCTCTTTCTTGGAATTGGTGTCACTGTACCGTATCCCTGCTACTGACTTTTTACACTACTTGCAGCTTAAATCAGCCTGGAACAGTTACAGGGGCACACCTATAGCATTGTTTGCCTCCTCCTTCTTAGATGCTCTTGCTTCGTCCGGCTCATACTCCATTTCGACCATATATCCTAGACTGCAAACACTATTCCTCGCCCCTCTTTCCGGCTCGAACGTGAAGGCTTGGGCAAGGGACTTTGCTAATCCGGACTTTCTGGACAAGATACTCGCAGGGTACGCAAAAACTAGATCGGTTATCACAAATGAAGTTTGGAGGGAGACCCAATTCAAGATCATACACAGGGCCTATGTTCCGTTCTTTCAACCTACGGATGCTCCCTCCAGGGCCTCTTCAGTGTATCCGTTTGTCCGAAATGCGGTCACCACGGACCCAAGCTGCAACACTGTCTATGGAGTTGTCCTTTAATATCCGATTTTTGGAAGCAAACTCTTATGTACATTAACTCCATTCTTTCATGGAAACCGGACCTGGACCCTGCCCTTTGCCTATTTAGTTTCCTGGAGGCAGCGAGAGGGGTGCCGATACACTTGGGCCGAAGGGAAATAGATTGGGCACATATTTGCCTCCTTACCGCGAGAAGATGTATAATGAGACAATGGAACTCCTCAACGGCTCCAAGGAATTGCAACGTCTCTTTTGTGTAGAGCGACTGGACGCGGAGTTGCACAAAGACACCCGTTCTACTCTTTTCTTCTCCAGATGGCGGCATTTCCTTAGCAAATCCTTCTCAGTACAGGAGATTCAACAAATCGTCAAATCATTCCGCTATACTAAATGGTACCTGAAAAACGCGCTGTTGAATGCCTTGGTGGTCATGCGGGTAGATTTGGATTGAAACATTCCTCGTGGGGGAGCGACTTAAGGAAACTTAAATAATAGTGATTTGAGGTACTCTTGGATAGTATCAGACATGCTGTGAATACATGGATCTTTCATGCAATTCGTGAGATGTAAGAGATTTGACCTGCTTCATATCATATACCTGATGTTATGTTTTGTATTGAAGTGAGGATG